AGCTTGAGTGGAAACTAAAAAAGGGTTCAACAATACTGACCTCTTGCCATCATGGCAGTAAAGAAAGAATATCTAAAAAAACTAGATGATAGGTAATTTTTGATACCCAAAGTCACATTTGCGACATAAATAATTCTTAAATAGCATAGTGTTTAGTAATAGTTATTTAATTACTAAAAACAATAATTCTTGTTGTGGCCTTTTCAATGATTCCGTCACTCTTTTAGCTTCTCAATCATGTTGGAGTTAGCCTCTAATTCTTTCCCACACTCTCATAACTCTAAAATATATTTAGAAACACTATTAATCCATATTGAGATCCTTTGACCCAACTCACCCAAGAAGGTGATGAGATATTTTTTTCCATTAAGAAAATTTTATGGCTACTATAATTTATTAGAGATCATTCCTAACACTTTTGCTATACTTTGTTTCATTATTTTATGAGCAACTCAAAAATTCTCTTTTTAGAACACTAGAAAGATGGTTGAGCTTGAAATCCTCTCTAGACACTCTAGAACTTTTTTCAACACATTTATATTGTTACTACAACTGTGTATTCATAGTACTTCACAAGTTATAAGGAGATTTTCTTGAAAATCACCCTCTCCTCTCTAAAAGAAAAAACACACTAATTCACAAGACATGATTGTCCAAGTGGTGAGGCTCAGTTTTCTTTCCATTGCTCCATCCTCACCCTTTTATTGTTCAAGTCCAAGATTCCAATAATGTTTATGATGCCTTCCCTCTACTAGAATTTTGGATTATTATCCTAAACTTCTGCCACCTCCTTGCTTTGTTGATGATCTTTTTGAACCATCCAACACCTTCATAATTTCCTTGTTCTTGATTCTTCTACTAAATTCCCAAAGATTCCTTAAATCTCAACTAAGCTGCTACGTGGATTAAACCACACTTTAACTATTTCCACCCTATTTCAAACCCATGCCATATTCATTTCTTATGGGATGACTATTTAAACTATGGGAACACAATGCCATTTTATATATATTGCAAGGATTTTCATGAATATTTTGATGCATACTAGATAAGTATACCAGATAAGACAAAATGGTTGCTATTGCACACATTAGCTCCTAGCGTTTGACACATCAGTAGAAGATTACCAATATCACTACAAATCAACACTATAGCTTGAAATACATTTAGATTAATTAACCTTCCAAAGCTCTCTCTATTCGTCCAGAATTTGCAGAGCTCTTGTTTCAAATTTCCCCAATGATTCTTTTAGTCTTTGAAGATTTGTCATATTAACTTGAATGTGCCATGGATGTAGATTGAGGATTATATTTCAGTATATTTTATGATAACATGTATTTAAATTAGTATTATATTTATATATTATAAACATATTTATCTTCTAAGTATATTCTAGTATATGATAATATGTATATCAAGTAAACTTGGGCTTATTCCCATTTCCAAATTTTTTTAAGCCTTGAGCAATGAAGAATGTGAGAATCTCCTCACTAAACTCTTGCATTTACACTTTTCTTCTTTGAAAACTTTGCATAAACATTTCATTATGTCAAATAAATGCCCTAGTGGTCAATACTGTGCATTCAAATTGATAAATCAATCGAGCAAGGCAATATAATTTATAACATGGTATCAACCAAAACTAAATAGACTGTATGATAGATACATGTTTATAGTTATGCACAGGACCATTAAATTAAAATGTAATGTTATCAGTTCTAAAATGAAGATTTAGTGGAGTTCAGAAGAAAAGTATGTATGTAGTCACATTTTGCTATGGTATTGTCTTGGTGGTACTAGAAAGATCCTTTGTCCTAGCTACGTCGCAAAAAAACATACGATCTTGTATTTGAATAGTGCCCCAGACAAAATCATGTGATAGCATACGAATATGCACTTGGTAGATTCTCTGGGAATATACCCCTCTCTCTTGGTTGGCCAAATTCTCTCTTTTGAGGCGCCGCGCCAGGGCGGTGGTGAGCGCCCTGCATGCGCGCGCCTTCCTCGATTTCTGGTGTCGCCGCTTGATCCATCCCAGCTCCCCTTCCCCAATTGCTCGCTCCCTTCATCGATCCTACAATCCGATCGCGCCCCTATCTGATCGATCGATCCCAAAATCCTTTGGATCGTCATGCTGGCGCCGGGGGAAATGTTGCTCATAGCTCGCGAGTGCCCCGCCAGCGGCTGCTCGCAGTGGATTTTTAGGTATCTCAAGGATTGCGTGTGCGATGTGAAAGATGGAGTCTCCTTCTCGCTGGGGCTCATCAGCGTTTTGAGCTGGGGCATTGCCGAGGTGCCCCAGATCATCACGAATTACAAGGAGAAATCCACCGAGGGTGTCTCGCTTCTCTTTCTCATGACTTGGGTCGTTGGGTAAGCCATTCCTTTCGTTCTCTCCTCTCTTTTTCTCTTTGGTTCCCAGTGTGGAGATGGTGGAGAGATTCTATCTTTGTTTTCTTGCTGCCGGTTCTCTCATTTAATGCATCGCTTGCTTTCTCCTCGATCGTGTGTGCTTGGATTGGATCAAACGCATTAACTCTCCCATCTTATACTCGTGAAGGGATTTTTTCAATATCGCGGGGTGTCTACTCGAGCCAGCAACTGTAAGTCAGGGATCATCTCCATCGGATTTTTTTTTTTTTCCCGGTTTTGCTACTGACGATCGTTTGTTTTCTTCCCTGAATTGGACATCCAATACGCAGCTCCCAACGCAATTCTACATGGCACTGGTAACAGCGTTCCATTTTTAACTAATCACCGCTTTGTTTCTCGGCGCTGGCAGCTTTACACCTTGACAACGCTCGTCCTCGTCGCTCAAACAATCTATTACGGACAGATCGCGAAACGCCACAGGCCTGACTCACCCTCCATCGAAGAGCCCTTGATCCCTCCAGAGGTAAAGATCTAGCATCTTATATGTTTTTCAATTAGAACAGGACTATAGTTTTTCTGTCTCGATCACTGCTAATCGAAATAAAATAAACTCTAGAAACAGGCAAGGCGAGCGCAAGAGACACCGGTGACCCCCGTGACGAGCCAGCCGATATCTTCCATAAGCGTTCCAAGCCCGAGTCCTCGACAGTTCTACTACACGTCAGTGCTCTAGTCCCGATCGTTTGTTTGTTTGTTTGTTTGTTTCATGGCTAAGGACTAAGTTTTTAAACGTGTGATCCTTGCACAGATCTGCGAGATCCTTGACGCGAAGCCACACACCCACAGCTGGTTCTTATCTATCCACCTCAGGTGTTAAGAGAGGGGACTACTTATCTTCTCATCCATCTCTGTCCAATCTCCAAGCTGTCGAGGCCCAGATTGTTGCCGCGTCGCATCTGGGAAAATCAGAGCCCAGGATGATCAGATCAGTAAGCTCCAGAGACTCCTTCCTTTCTTTGGTTTGTTTTGTTCGTTCTCTAACTTTTCCGTATCTTTTTCTTTTTCGGTGGAAAGGTGGCTGCTAGTTTGATGATGTTTGGTGGCTATGCATTACACTCTCGTTGGGAGTCGCAAGCTAGGTCCTCGTCTGGTGGTCATGTCGTCTTCAGCAGCGCGAGACGCCTCCTGCAGGTACGAGAGATAAGATTCACCCCTGAAGTTTCTCTCGGGGTGAAAAACTCGATTTACCAGTGAAGTTTCTGGTGATGGAATGAGATTTTTTCTTGCAGGACTCTGGAAGTCACAGTAGAGCTGGAGAGATGCTCGGGTGGGGAATGGCCGCGATTTACATGGGTGGAAGGGTACCTCAAATCTGGCTCAATGTGTGATCTCTCTCTCTTCTTTTTCTTTCTTTTTGGTCTGACATGAAGTTGATTTTTTCTTGTCTTCCTAGATTACGAGAGGAACAGTGGAGGTAATCTTCTATCATTTTCTAAGTTTTGTTTCTCTAAAGTTGCGACTTTTCCAGGGTCTCAATCCGATGATGTTCTTCTGCGCGCTAATGGGAAATGCTACATACGTTGGAAGGTGAATGAGCTTTAGTTCGTTGGGATTCATTGTTTTTTTTTTTTTTTGTGCTGTGGTTGCAGCATCCTCGTCCGGAGCACGGATTGGACCAAGTTGAAGCCCAACATGCCATGGCTGGTGGACGCTGCTGTTTGCGTTATTCTGGATTTTTTCGTATGGTTTTTCTTCTGTTTTCGATGTTCTTCCTTGACGGTGTTTTTGCAGATTCTTGCGCAATTTTGCTACTACCACCGCTTCGTGACAAAGTGTAACAGCCAGAACAGTGGCTCCGAGGAAGGGCTTGTAGAGAAACAGAATGTTTGATAGAGCGAGAGCTTCGTTTTAGGAAGATCAATTGGAGATTCTCAATGTTAAAGGTTGAATATTTTCAACGATTTGCTAAAGGTTGTATGTTTCATTGTCTCGTGATGCTCGCTTTGCACGATGTTCCCAAGAAAATCTTTCCAAACAAAACGACGGCATTGCTTTAGTGTGCGTTGACCCATTCTTCCGGAATCCAGATCGATCGATCGATAGTTGTTGATCGATATCAAACGAAAATTTTCCATGGAGGAGCTCCGGGAGCTGCGCCGATCTGGCAAGGACGTGAAGCTGGGAGATGCCGAGGTATGGGAGGACGATCCATCACAGCTCGCCATAGCCAAGCAAATCCTAGAAGATCAATCATACATTCAAGATGATCCATCCCTCTTCATCCGGCCCAAGATCATCGAAATTGTGCCATTTTCCAAGAGGTCCTCCAATTCTTCTACTGGATCCTCCTCCTCTCCACGCTTTTCCAATCCAAGAGATCCTCGAGGACGAATTCGTCTTCCATTTTTTCCTCCGCAACTGGATCATCCTCCTCCTCTGCTTTTCAAGATCCGTGATCAAGAAGAATTTGTCCGTGATCAAGAAGAATTTGTCCTCCAGTTCTTCCTCCGCCAGTACTGGATCCTCCTCCTCGGCTTCCAAGACATCCACGACCAGGAAGAATTCGTCCTCCATTTCTTCCTCCGCCACTAAAATCCTCCTCCTCGGCTTCCAAGACGTCCGCAAGGATGAATTCGTCCTCCATTCCTTCCTCCGCCGCTACTGGATCCTCCTCCTCTCTCCTCTTCCCTGCTACCATCCCCCAGATCGACTACGCGGCGCCGGCAGCACGATCCTCCTCGCACAATCGAGATTATCCCCTCTTCGGCGGCTATACGCGGCGGTCGTGCCATTGCATCCAGCTCGACACCAAGAACCTAGCTTCCCCGACCAGATCCCGGCAGCGATCCAGCACAATGCCCGCGAGTAGCGCGTGGCGATCGCGCTTGCCATCGAGCCAAGCGTCCGGATCACCCCCGCCAACGTGGACGTGGAGCTCCGGATCAAGACCCTATCCGTGGGCGTGTTCTCGGAGGACTTGCTCAAGAACGAGGCAGCGCTGGGCTTCTACCCTTACCGGATTAGATTCTCGATCGAGCCCCAGCTGCGCGATCGCAGCGCCGTCGCGATCCCGCTCTACACGCCCAGGATCGGAGCTAGCGACAGCGGCGGGACAAGTTGGCGCGCGGCCCGTGTCGATCAGTGGGATGGAATGCCAAGAATCGACAGAGAGGGGGATGATCAGTGCCGGCGTGGAGGAGTCCGGGAACACGGCAGTGTTTGAGTGGAGGCTTTTGCGATGGAGCCACAATGCCGCGACATATAACGCGCACAAGCCACACCCTGGATTGAGCTTGCCTACCAAGTCTCTCAAGGTTCGTCGTCCTCCATAGCCAACCATATCCTTGAAGAACGATTGATCTCTCTTTTTCTTCCAGGCACCATTTCCACAGGAATCAAAGTGGAAAGCTTCCCCGACGTCATGTGGGATCTCCACCCGAGATCAAAGTTTCCGCTCCAATTCAAGTTCCAGTTGGAGGTGGGGATGCATCTGCTGTGGTTTGTGGGCACGAACCGGTTGTTCCGAGTGGCCGAGTGGAGCAGCCAGGGATTCGAGTTTCGTCACGAGCTTCTAGTTAGCGATGGTGTGATCTCCACCGTCACCTGAAAGTATATTCCGTTGGAGATGGTTTCACTTCGTGTTCATTGAATCCCCAAGCCATTTCCAATGCACTGTTGATCGTCTTGCTCGAGCTGGGCAGCTTAATGTAAAGGGCTGATTGCGAGCATGCCATATGTTCCAGAGCTCAAGAACTCGGAGACTCTCCCTCGGCATGCAATATCCATATGGTGACACGCAGCAGCGGCTGGCAGCACGTTCGAGTAGATGAGCAAAACCGGTTGCCGTACGTTCTCTTGTCAAATGCCTTGAAAAGAGTATGAGATGTTTGGATTTAGATAGATGGCTTCAGTCAGTGATCGATGTCGAGGTGAAAATGCTGATCCAAAGTCTGGATACATTGGAACGAATTTTCTCCACCCTTGAGAAGCTTTACTTCTGGTATTAGAACCAGACGAAAAGGATGTCTCGTTAGGCAATTCATCTTCAAAGAATCATTGCCTGCTTGAGATTCCCGACCTCGGCATACGCCACAACCATGGCTGCGATAGCGAGAACATTAACAGCTCCATCGCCGCTATTTGGTCGAAGAAGCATTGACCTAATTCAAATAACCATTTGAAAACTCGGCAAGCCTCCCACAGCCATACGTCCTGGATCTATCTCAGCAGCAGAGATTGCTGTTGCTTCCCCAGTCACTGATTGCAAAAACAAGGGGCGGGAAAATCCTAAGCAATCCAGGAACTCTACATTTTTGTCCTCTCATGCAGTACCGTGTCTGTCTTGCGTAGCCCAAAGACTCGATACAGCAGCTTGCATTTTATATCGCAAGCGAGAAGGAGCGCGAGGATACCCAAGACGCGGCCTCAATCCAAGCGCAGGAATCGAAGTGGAAAACTTTCCCGTTGTCATGTGGCATCTTCACCCGAGCATGAGATCAAAGTTTCCGCTCCAATTCAAGCTCCAGTTGGAGGTGGAGAAGCATCTGCTGTGGTTTGTGGGCACGATCCGGCTGTTCCGAGCGACTAGCGAGGTTTCATCACGAGTTTCCACCGTCCTGAAAGTGTTCATTGGAAACTCTTCCAGTAAAATAACTTCTCATGGAAAGACTTTGAACATGTTACCGTTGAACTATGGCACTTCCCTTGCTTCTCAGTACGTTGTCGATGTCGACCCAAGAGCTGCATAAATGCATTGTTCAATCCAGCTGGTTGTGTGGTGGGATCGTCGAGCCAAAACTCCCTATATTCGTTGACCTACTGTGTTGCACATCTGTTGATTCCTCGTGGTTTCGCATCTTGTCGGTGGCCCTCAATCCTGTTTCCAGATTCCAAGTTTAAATTGTAGTAATGAATAACAGGTTTAAAGGTACACGACCATGAATATTAAAATATAAACTACACAAACGAAGCCACCACCATTCTCAGTCAACTATGTTAAGTCCGGCGAAACGTCACTCATTCATTTATATGTTGTCTATATATAGTATGTAATCCCCGGCTCAGATGATAGATTTCAATGTGCAACATGATTTATTGCCCAATTTATGAATCTTCCTGGAAGAAATGCAAGTGCTTTCAAATCAACACAAAGGTTCCATCCGACTCGCCACAGCTCGACCGGTTATGCCTTAATCTTCCTAATGGAATGTCCAAGAGCCATCAGCTCGTGGACATTGCCATGGTGATCCTGCCCTACGTACGGGAGAGCTGTGCCAACTTCGAAGTTGCTTTGGAGATCAAGAACCTCTTTGTGGGAGTGGGCGACAGCGATGTAATCATCAACTCCGACGCCCTGGGATTCTACCCCTACCGCATCAAACTCTGGATCGATCCACAGCTTGACGTGATGAAGAGCTCTGTCATTGCTATCTATGACTACAATTCCCGTGCCAATTCCAGCACGCGCACCACTAGCAGCGACAACGAGATTGGAGCTCGATTCGATTTATGGCCAGTGCCTCTCAGATTAAAAAAAACATGGGGGCGATCACTTCAAGAGCCAATGAAGTGCGAGTCCATCACTGTTGGAGATCCACGGAAGACCGCCGAGCTCGAGTGGAATCTCCTTCGCTGGAATCACAATGGGATGAAGTATAATCCATTGAAACCATACTCTGGCCTCAGCTTCCTCCAGGTGAATGCTTCTACTCTTTTTCTTTCATCTGCGTGTGATCCATATAGCCGCCATTGCGAGGAGGACGCACGATTGTGAATATCGATGACTTTCCCATCGTTGTGTGGCATCTGCCCGCAAGCATGCCATCCAAGTCTCCGCTCCGGTTCAAGCTTCGTCTCGAGGCCGAGATGCATTTCGTCTGGTACACGAGAAGCAACTGCATCTACCGCGAAGCCAATTGCACCAGCGAGAGAGTCGAATTTTCTCGACAGTTTGTTGTCACAGACGGTGAGTGACAAGTCCGACTGTCATACTGTCTATCGCTTCTTGTAGACCCACTGTTCTTCCCCAATATCCAGTTTGGTGATATAAACTTACCGTGTACTAGTGTCTTGAATGGGAGTTTAGCAGGACAGATTGTCTCTGGCAGCGTATCCAGAAATTAGCTAGCCTTGCCTGCGAAAACCCTGTTGTTTTGCTCAAAGAGATCTCTTTCCTCCATTTCTGCTTTACCCGATCGCTCACGCAATCGACGTTATGGACGCGTCACGTCACACGTCCCTGTGGCTGTAAGAAGACTCGTTGTGGACAGCAGCAGCGTTAGAAGCCTTTCTAGCCTTTTCGGCCAGATTCCAGAGCATCACGGTGGCTACCAAGATCATCACCGCCTTGGGTCTCACCTGCGAAAGCAAATTAACAAAGTTGGAAAAACAAGTACCTCGCCAATGTCATCCCACAGCAAGATCACGCCGCACTAACCGCGTTTTGCTCGTCATCTGGAATTCATAGGATATTATCGATCCAGTGTTTGGTCACGAGCCGCCAATTTAGAACGCGTGGTTCTGCAGTCCAGAGAAGAATGATAAGCTCTTGTCCTGTAAGTTCCAGTTCCACTTGTGTCTTGGTAAACATTAGTTCATAGCAAAGTTTGTCATACTTGTTGTACCAAGGCTATTGATCCACACACGAAAAACCCGCTCGTCTCTCGAGTCTTGCTCATGACCCTGAATTAATTCAGCGTAAGTGAGGCTGTTGTCGGCTGTCAAACCGAATACGAAGAAGTTTTATCAACAGCGAGGTGGGCCTGAAATTCAATACCTTTCATGGCAGAGATAGGCCAGAAAAGCAAGATTCAAGTTTGCGGAGCCGCATGTAACGTCTCTGGCTGTGAGGTACTTGTAATTTATTTCTGCCCATAGGTACAAGCGGAGTGGCAAGATCATAAGATCTCCTGTCGCAGATCGGAAGTCACGAGCAAGAGCTGAATGCGAAGCTGGAAAAGGGAGCGACCAGCATCCAGGCCATGCTTAACAAGTTTAATACTCACAAGCACCGGAATCCAGAGTTCCGCTACTCTGATGGAGCCGAGGAGTGTCTTGATCTTGTCACAAAATGGAACGACAAGGCGCAAGCACTGCTGGGATCACAGTAAGCTTACACAAGAGCTCTCACTTCTCTGCATTGATAGCTCCCTCATGATCGTAGGCACTCGCTCTGGCATCGCCGCATGCAAACATCGTTCCAATTGGGGACGTGATGCTGCGTAGACCAGCATCCAAATCCGAGACCCCACACACAGTGACGCACGAATTGGGCGTCACATCCTTTGCAAAGATGCCCACTCGCTTCATCATCTGATGCACACGCGCTTGCAAGCGAATCGATCCTGGGAATCCAACTCGCTCTCATCGAGCGATGATCGCCGGCCCCGCCATCTCTCCGCAACCGCCGCCACTCTTGCCGCTCTTCCCGCGCCGCCGCCGCCGGATCATCGTGGAGGAGCCTGTGATTCCCAGTAACCCTGGCCCCCCGCGCTCCACCACGAGCCCTCCACCATCCTTCCTGCACACTTATATTCTTGTGTGTAGATTAGATTCTATTTTGGTAATTTGTATCATCTGTTTGTGGCGTGCTATTTGTAAATTCTATATTATACTTGCGCAAATGACCCATGCGTCCATATATGCATTTCAAATGGTACATGACTATAAAATATACATGCTGGCCATATATGTGGCATGGATGACCCATAATACATCCCATTCATCGTCTGGGTTTATATTGTTCAATACCAATAGTGTTACTGTTGTTGCAAAAATGAGTGTTGCCTTCTAGAAGTTCCAAAACCTGTGGGCCTAAATCCTGCCCAAACCAAATTTGGGCCTCCTAAGCATTCCAAAAGCCTCTCCATTCTGTTTGTCATGAACCTTAGTCAAAAATACACAACTAGTGATGTAGACATATGCATTAATCTTACCAGAGTTTCCATAATCTAATAAGCTGACTCTTCTTCCCAAATTCTACCCCATTATTAAAACATAACCCAAAATAATCTGTTCAACCTATAGACCATATGTATTATATTTAGTATATTTCCTAAAAATCTCTTGAATATACCTTTGCCTAATTGAATTTTTCTCGCAAATTTCTGGGATGGCCATTCCATCATTACTTTGGAGGAAATTGGATCTACCAAATACCCAAATTGGAGTATGACCTAGCACATGAGTTCTTTGCCCAAGTATAATATAGGGGATTTACAAATAGCATGCATGTACTCTCCATCCCGTTCGTTGGATCGTATCGATTTCCAATATACAAGGAAAGAAAGAATATCCTCTCCCCGGTTGCGGTCCTACCGGTCCACTTGGGCGGTGTATACAATGTAGACACAGTGTTATCTTAAGACAGTTGATACTCAGCCTGAGCAAGCACTGCTTTTGCTCTATCGTATGGATCTTGGAGATCTAGCAGAGACAAATTGCAGCTGTCAGGAGCCAAGACGTTTAGAAGTACGGTGTATGTTTCCCCATCCTTGGTCAGTTTTAAAGTGTTCCAGTTTGTTGGTCTCTACCTTAAGATCTGACGAAAAGTCAGTAATTTCTCTCGGAGAACCAGCCTTCTGCAGGTGGTAGTTGACCAATGTAAACAAAACCTCTTCAGCTGGAAGACGAAGAAGCTCTTCTATATCCTAGAAACTTTAGAATTTTCACACAGATTCATTTTTTATTA